TGAGTTATAATATGGTGCTATGAATTGTAAAACTCACTGGCGATGCCGACTACGATGCCGGCGAAACGTCTGAGAATGTACCAGCTCCACAGTCCGACTTTGGAAATGATGATGCATACAATGAACTCAGGACAAGGTGTGTTCCTACCAAGTCGCGAAAACAAGGTCAAACAACTTCTTTACTTGCTTATGTTGTTTGATCTTTCACGCCTCTACTCATTATTCGTTATTACTTTTTTAAAAACTATTAATGCCTCTTCAGCTAACTTACAACCAGACGGTCCTCGTATTAGTTCTGCTGAGGCACAACAGAAGCTACTTACAATGGCCAGTCTTGCTGCTGCTGCAATGGCTGAAATGACTAATGCTTCTGGCCCACCTGGTCAGCCTCGCTTACCTCCTCTCCCACCAGCTCATCATCAACATCACACCACCCAACAACCGACGCCTCTACCGCTTGTAACTCCTGGGCGTAGCCTACTCTCTGGCACAACTTCAGTCCCACCTCTTTCGCATTCTTCCTCTAGCTCAATACCGAATTCAGCTAGAACGATTACAGGCTCAGCCGGTGTTTCACTTCCCGGGTACCCTTCGAATCTTCCTCTTATCTCATCTACTGCTCTTGGTGGTATCACTGGATCCAATCAGTCCCATCTGGCGTCCTCTTTATCGCTACCATCATCCTCGGGCACTCCTGTAATCTCTTCCACGGTTTCCTCCGCCTCTTCTCATTTTCCTGGTTTTATATCGGCATCACCCTTGCAGCCACCCTTGTCGTTGTCTTCTTCCTCAATGTCCCAATTGCCCGGTCTCCCATCTGTCTTGTCTGGATTCGATCTAACTCCGCATTCCCTAACCTCTGGGTCGACTTCGTCTAGCGGCAATATATCGTTTTTACCTGCCAACAGCAGCTGCAACAGCGCCATTAATGCTCGAGTATCATCTCAGGCTTCGCTTTCGACTGGTTCACTGAGCTCTTCTTCACTACAATCACATACTCTCTCATCCGGGCATGCTTTGTTACCAGGAGCACAGAATAGTCCGAGGAGCCATACAGTTCATGGGCTACCTGGGGGCCAATATTCATCCCCTCTGCCACATTTGCCATCCTCGCC